CAGGCCGACCGCATCGATGTAATGATTGAAACGGTTCTTATACGATTCCCACTTCTCTTCGTCTGGTTTAAACGCTGGGAATACTGGGTTGGAACTCATGGTGCTGGAACGGCTGGGCTACCTGCGGAAAAAATCTCTCTGGGACTACGAGCGCTCGTGAGTTACTAGTGATATCAGCTCTGGAGAGGTTTTTTGCTAACCTCTCTTTCTCTCTCTGGGTTACCACGTTGGCTGCTAGCCGTTGGAGGTGTCTAGATTCGCGCCAAAAAAGTGGGCGTTAGTGACTCTCTACAGCGCTGTGCTGTGATTCCTACTGGCTCGAAATTCAAATGACACCCGTTTGAATTTCGCGCCAAATGCAGAGCGGCTGCGGCTCGCAGCGCTTCACTTTCCCCGTAGCGGGGCTAACAAGCGGCTACAGACGCTTCTAACTTTTTGACTCAGACCGCTTTCTCTGGCTGCGGATCTGCGTTTGCTCTTTTTGATCGCTCGTTTTGTTAGCTGACCGCTCTCTCTGGCTGCGGATCAGCGTTTCCCTTATCGCCAGCCGATCGCTCTCTCTGGGCTGCGGATCGGTGGCTAGTGACTCAGCGGTTGCAAGGTGCATCTGGTAGCCATCCCATCCTCGTCGCCAGTGTTAAGTTTGAGCAATGAGAGGCTGAACCAGAGCATGAGTGCAACAGTACTTTATTTTACAAATAAAGGGCTGACCGTGCTTGCCAAGCCTGGAACTGGCTCGCAGCAATCAGCAAACAGTTGGACCCCGCAGCCTGCTTTTATAGCTGGCTGCAGGGGAGAACCAACCAATGGGAATGGGGGAATATCGCCCACACAAGTGAGTGGACCAGAGTGAGAACTCCTTGAGTCCTCAGGACATAACAGGAATCCTTCCAAGCAATAAGTATGGCTTTCTTTTGTAAAAGCATCATTAAAGAAAGTGAGACAAGTAGGAAGCCTGGAAAGAGAAGAATTAAAATTCTTTAAGGTTTTAAATACAACACACTTTGACTTACAAGGCAAAAATTATAACTGGATAAAGACATCCTTTGTGAGAAGTACATAAAAATGAATCAACAGACTTTTGATAATCTGATCCATAGGAGGCTTTATTAAGGAAAAATACTGCAGTATGAACCCCTCTACTCCAAAACCATGTTTAGCAGAAAAGGAGACATTTCCATTTAGAGAATACAGCTTATATAGGTTTATCAAATCACATGGTTACATAACACTTCCTGTTTCCCATATATGGACATTATACAAATGTTTTCTTAAGAAAGTTCCAACCTTCCATGGGAAACTCCCAACATTCTCATTATAGTCAGATTTCCTGTTATGCAAATTCCAGAAGATTATAAGAAAACCATTAATGTGGCATCTAATGTCAGAGCATCCCAGCACATACCTCTAACTTATGCCAAGTACATAGTTTTGCAATCTTGTATTATTTCTAGCAGAAAACACATTACATAATGGTCTGAGCTTTAAAAGTTCAGACTGCAAACACAAAATGGCTTCAGTTCGGCTCTTCACATTCTCAGATATAATAACCAAATTTTCACCTATAACATCCTTAGATAGAAGTACATCATTAATACAGCATTTTAGAAAGAAAAGCTTTTATTATGTCTCAATTTATGTACATTTTGATACTTTAATTTTGGACGTATAATAATTCAATTTCATTGTGTGAGTGTATGTATACACAGAAAATGGTATGCATGAAAATACGTATGATAAGGAACCCATCTACAGGAATGGAAAGTGTATATAGAGTATTTGAAATTCAGAGTTGAACTGTTGGATCCTTGGCGCTCTCTGTGCTTGGTGGTTTTTCTTGCAGATGTTTCATTACTAAATTGGGTAACACTATAGATGCTAGAAGGGAGTGGGATTTGCTTTTATTTTTATATATAACTGACTTGCCTGCCGGTATTGGTGGGAGTGTTCTTGGTGATTTTGATTACCAACTACTGTCAATAGCTCCTTGATTATCATTTACTTCTTGTTTAATTGTCTAATATTAACTTTGGTGTTAATCTCTGCAATACTCAAAGTAACTCTGCAGAAAAATTAATTACCATGGTCAGATTTTGAGAATCTACCAAACTACCTATTAGCAATATAGATTTTTCCAGAAATCCTAGAATTTCATGTTTCCTGAGCTTGCCAGTTTTACAGAGCTTAATATAAAGCTCTTTCACATAAACACATAGATTACTTAACATAAAAATAAAAAAAACATATATCAGTCAAGTATCATATAATAACCATCAATGATTCCAAGAGATGGGCTCTATCACACAGATTATTGTATAACCATGGTTATCTCTACATTTATTTGCAAATTTATTTATTTGCATAAGGAAAGTAACCTGAATTTGGAAAATATAATAATCTAACTACTGAAGATAATAGCATCTGAACATTCAATATAGCAACCATAGCTCTGTAGTATAGTGATAATAAGGAAATAAATTGGAAAACACCTGAAAATTTAAAGAACAAGGGAAGTATGCATTTCATGAGTTTTAGGGCTACTAAACCAGGATGGCCCTTCCCTTTTGCACTACACTAGAACTCCATAGCAGCATCTAAGGATCTTTTACAGGTGTGCATTATAGGGAAATATAATAAGCAGCCTATAATAAATAGCAATAGCACTTAGATTTATATGCCATTGTATTTTATAGCTCTTTCTAAGCAGTTTACAGAATCAGCATATTGCCGCCAAATGAAAGGAACATGGATGGTGGTGTACAAAACCACATGATAGATCCTAGCAACTGGCTCAGGCCCTCATTATTGGCTTTGTTTCCACTGCAGAACCAACTATTTCCACCATCCCTGCTGTCTGTCAAGATTCTGAAAGCCAGTATCATCACCACTTATACACCATGTAAGTTCCTGGCATGTTACGGTTGAGAATTTAAGATATTTTTTTGTGACTTAGAGCAAAATAAAATATAATAAACTTGATTGTTTGCAGCTTATACGGGATATAAAATGTTTTTTCTCAACAGCATCTCTTGCTTTTATTTCAGATTTTTCCATGATTATCTACCATTAGTCTCTAGGCTTCTGTTTCCTATTAACCCAACACTGTTTCCAACCCAAAAGCAGGACTACCAGTATCAGTTTTTGGTTTCCAATACATTTCCTTCAGTGAATCTTCAAATAGTCTCTTCTGGAACCCAAACCAGGACATGCTTTCTTATTACATTTTTTCCATGAAGAGAATCGGTCTTCTTACCCAGTTTGCACTGCTCCTATTCTCTTTTGATGTTTTATCTCATTAAGTTGAATCTCATTTCCACTAAACAAAATTGTTTCTAAAAATTCGACATCTTAATAAAGAATTTCTCAGAATCTAAAGTGCTGAAAAATCTTTAAATTATTTAATTCATTTATTTATTGCATTTTTAGTCTGCCACAATCACCTTGACTCTTGGTGGCATGTATTTCAGAATCAGAACAGAGCTGGAAGGGACTCTGGGGGTCTTCTAGTCTAGCCCCCTGCTGAAGCAGGAAACTGCATACCATTTCAGACAAGTTACTGTCCAGTTTCTTCTTAAAAACCTTCAGTCATGAAACACCCACAACTTCTGGAGGGAAGCTGTTCCACTGGTTAATTGTCCTCACTGTTACGAAGTTTCTCCTTCATTCCAGGTTGCTTCTCTCGTTGATTAGTTTCCATCCATTGTTTCTTATTCTGCCCTCTGTGCTTCGGAAAATAAATGGACCCCTTCTTCTTTGTGGCAGCCTCTCAAATACTGGAATACTATCATGTTCCCCGCCCGCCCCCCAAGTCCTTCTTTTCTCTAAACTAACCAAACCCGAATCCCACAACTGTTCTTCATATGTTTTAGTCTCCAGGCCTTTAATCATCTTAGTTGCTCTTCGCACTTTTTCCAAAGTCTCATAATCTTTTTTGCAATATGGTGATCAAAAGTGGATGCAGTGTGGCTTTACCAAGGCTTTATAAAGCTGTAGCAATACTTCACGTGACTTTGATTCTATGCCTCTGTTTATATAACCAAGGATTCATCAGCTTTTTTGGCTGTTGCTGCATACTGCTGGCTCATGTTTAAGTGATCATCCACTAGAACTCCAAAGTCCCTCTCACAGTTACTATTTTAAATTACCTTTTAAAGACTAATAATATATAGATTAATGTACAGTATAACAAATAGAATGTAGGTATCTTTAGAAGTAGGTGGCACTCTTGACCCATAGGAATTTAGCTATTATATTTCTTTTGTTTATTAAGATGTGCTGAATATTTGAAAAAAGCAATTACCAATTTCTTCTTTTTCCTGCTGTAGATTCCACATCTGATTGTTATGTGACTTTGCATCTGCCAACAGCATCACGGGAGATATTCAAAACCCAGACTGTCAGGAATTCTTACTACCCAGTCTGGAATGAAACATTTTATTTCAGGATCCAAACCAAAATCAAGGTAGTGTAATGTAGTTGCAATGCATTCAAATTATTTGACAAGCTTACAGGATAAACAAATCCATAAAATGTTGTTGCAAAACAGACTTTTCCAAACAAGACTGTAAAATTAACTCCATGATTTGATATTTTGAAAAGGAAAACAAACTATTGAAACCTTTGTTTTCTATCATTTGGAGATGCTTGTATGCCTGAAAGTACGTATCAGAAGTTTTGTGTGTAAGTGCAGAGATCAGATAGCTAATGCTTTATGTTCAGAGATTACTGTTAATCCATTGCAAAGATTGGAAATGAATACTCTGAGATAGCTGGTAGTGAAACATATTCCATTACACATATTTAATGTGAGGGTTTTAAAATACAGTGACATCTGTTGTAAAAGAAAAGAAAGAATGCTAAAAATTTCTTGGAATTTAATAGACAGTTTTTTTTCTTGGCGCCTTTTTCCTAATATAATATCCCCAAAAACTTACGGTTAAGTTTTTAGGTGAATTTATCATCTGTAACAGCTTCCCCGTTGATTATCCAAAATAAGATTCAGATTGTGTGTGTATGTGGGGGGGAGATAAATGTGATAAATAAATAGATACTGTACATAAATAAATAAATTAGCAGATGTACAGAGTTAATGAGATTGACTAATTAGATTTCTTACTTTGAGTATAATCAGTTTTCCTGGTCAATAGGCAAAATTCCATCAATTTGGAAGAAAATATTACAGCGAAAATATCTACATTGCCATCAGTAAAAAGGAGCATGCAATTGCCATTTCTTCTCTTCTGTTCCTAGAATATCATACAGTTGGAAGTTTGCAAAATTGACCCAGACACCAATTGTGATATCCAATTAATTGTTCTTTTTGATTTGTCAAAACTCCAGTCCGGAAGTCCAGTCCTTGAGAAATTCTCCTTAAAACCAAAGGTGAGGGGCAAAAAATTATTTTGCACATAATGTAGGTAACATGTATTCTTTAACTCTAATGGATGTTCTTTTCCCAAGTGTATTAAATGGTACGTTTCATGGGTTTTGTGAAAGGAGAGCACAGAAAAGGATTGTCCTTAAAAAGGGGTTACTCTTCATGTCATATCAACTTCCTTTCCTTTCCTTTCCTTTCCTTTCCTTTCCTTTCCTTTCCTTT